TGCTTTTGGATGTGGCCTGGGATTAGAAATTCAAGAATCTCTGTGGCTCTGGTTTGCAGCCAAGTTTGGGAAACACTTGGACTAGACTCAAAACACTTGGGAATTATTAATGAGATTCAAGTTTAGCTTCAGGGGTCATTCCTGGGGGGTACCTTAGGAACCATGTGGTACAAAAGATTGGATTTGGCTGCTCCGGCTCCCAATGCAGAGCATACACATTAACCCTTTAAGCAACCTCTTAGTTGCAGTTGTTTTATTTTAATAAATTTAGCATATTTTATTTTTTATATCCCTTTGGTGGTGTATCTAGGAAATTATCACCAAACTCAAGATTATCTAAATGTTCTGTTATCATCTAGAAATTAGTTTTATGTTGAGTTCTGTAATACATTTAGGGTTTTTTTTTGTGAAAGGCTTAAGACTGGGATAAATGTGGATGTCTGGTTGTTCCATTACCGTTTTCAAAGGCTAACCTTTCTCCACTTGTCTTTATTCCTTTGCTAGGCTAAATTACTATATTTGCAAGTATTTCTTTTCAGATTATCATTTATCTCTTCTTTTGGCATTACCATTGCACCATGATTATTGTACTTTATTGAAAATATTTAAGTTGATCAGTATCCATCTTAGTTCTTCCTCTTCTCCTTTAATAACCCCTGTGTTAGCTATTCTGGGTATGAGTGAAGATTTTCACAGCTTCATTACATATGTAAACTCATAGACTTAAGAACCTAAGAAAAAACCCAAAAATGTAATTTGAAGAACACACCAAGGATATTATAATCAAACTTCTTAAAATTAATGATCTAAAAAATACTTTGAAGCAATCAGAGGAAAACAGCTATAGAAGAAAATGATGAATATGACAGGTTCCTTGTTAGAAACAATGCAAGTTTAGAAGGAAACAATAGCTACTTAATGCTGGGGGTTAAAAATAAATCCAGTTGTCAGTGAAAAAAATATTTTCAAAACAAATGGATGTTTTCATATAAACAAAACTTTATATGAATGTTTTCATATAAACAAAACTAAAAATTCATCATCAAAGTACCTGCACATCAAGAAAATTACATTAAAATATGATTTTGTAATGACATTGTATATTTTTCACTGATTTCACTTTGTCAAGCAGATGTCTGCAGACAATGTTAAGAACTTGAAGCCCATGGTCCTTTGTAATAATAAGGATCTTCATGATCCTGGAACTCACAGACTAAAAATAATTTTGATATATAAATATTACAAAGATTTAACTCAATATTATAGGGAGAAAGGATTAAAGATTGGGCTATAATGATAAAAAAGATGATGTTTTACAATATTGAACTTTTTATTCCACATAAACCACCCAGGCTAGAGAGCTAGGAGGTATAATCGGTCAAATGGTAGGGATCTGAGCTGCTTGCCATCCGTAACAGTTTGCTCTTATCTATTTGTGCAAAGGAGGTCCAACTATTGTGAAGGGCCAAGGCCAAGGCTAGGGTGTGTTTAAGGACATAATCCTGAAGTTAGCGCATTTTTTCACAATGTACCCTAATGCCCCAAATCTGACCACATGGTTGCATCTTGCAAGTGGAGGGAGAAAAAATTAGGGGGTTAATTTGCAGGTCAGTAGGGACTCCCAAGTAGTGCTCCAGAGGGAAAGGAAAAGAGTATCTGATGGTTGAGTTAGGACAGTAAAATAGGGCTGTTTCTTTTCTTTTCTCTTTTTGCCACACTGTGGCTGTGTGCTCAGGGCTCACTCTTGGTGGAGACAGAGGGACCATGGGGGCGGGGGGCCGGTAAGTCCAGGATTAAACCATTAAACCCAGGAGGGCTGCATGCAAAGCAAACACCCTGTTTGTTGTAGCCTCACTCTGGCCCCAGGCCCTGACAAACTTTTTCCCGTTCATGACCTCTTTTCACACCATAAATGGAAAATGAGCAGGAGCTACTAGAAAGACCTCTGATTCATTGCATGCTTAATTTTGAATTATTTTTGGTTGTTGCACATTTAAAAATCCTTCACTGTTGCAATTTTTTATTTGCAACACCCATGTTAGTTATGCAATTCAATATGGGATTGCACGACCCATGGTTTAAGAAGCTAGGAGTTAGGAAATATAGGAAGTAGATCCTTTGCCCATGATTTTTTTTTAAATAAATTTTACTGGATCACCATGAGATAGTTACAAACTTTCACGACTACATTTCAATCATACAATGATCGAACACCCATCCCTCCAGCAGTGCACAGTTTTCATCACCAATGTTGCCAGTGTTCCTCCTGCCACCCCCACCCCAACCCACCCCTTGACTCTGTGGCAGGTACTTTCGTGCTTACTCTTTCTCTAATTTTGGTCATTATGATTTGCAATACAGATACAGATAGATACTTTTTGCCCATGATTGAACCAGATGTTTGATACCATGCATCAGTTAAAATACCTTTACGATCTGTACCTGAGTATTGTGATGTGCCCATCCTGCACAGAGATTCCTGTAGAGAGGGACACTGTTCTTTACTGGACAGTGAGGTTCATTTGCCCTAGTCAGCCAAGACCAAGGCAAAGCTATGATAGCAGGACTAAGACTGGCCATCAGAGGCAGTAGTATTCTCCACAGCAAAGACAAACTTTTCACTAGTGGTGAAAGCCATGCTGTTATATTCTGAAGCCATCACCAACATTTGTCTTGCTGAAGTTGATACTTGGTGCATAGAGGGTTAAGAAGCTATGCTTTGTATAGAAAAATAAGCCAGTGTGGTGATGAAAATATTACATGTGAATGTTAAAGAAGTCTCCTCTGTAAAATAAGAGGAGACTCTCTTTATAGTAGCCTTCAGGTGTTTTATTGGTTTGGGGCCACACCCAAGGTTTACTCAGGATTTATTCCTGGTTCTGCACTCAGGGATCATTCCTGTCAGGCTTGGAGGAACATATGGGATGCGAGAGAATTGAACCCGGTCAGCTGTGTGCAAGACAACTACTTTACCCGCTGTACTGTTTGTCCAGATCTGAGCCTTAGTTTTGATAAGAACGACAGATAAAAATAAATGAACCAAAATGAATGTATTAATTAAACATTTGCTGTATTTTCATATGAATACACAAAATTTCTTTAAGATAGAACTCCACTGAAATTAAGTTATATTTTGTTATGTGGAGAGTACAAGAGAACCATAGGAATTGCACCAAAATTGGTCTGTGGTCCAGAGAAATTGCCTTGTATGCAACTAACTAGGGTTTGTTAGTAATCCCTATGGTTCCTGGAACATTGTCAGGAGTGATTCCTGAGTGTCGAGCCAAAAGTAAATCATGAGCATTGCTGGGTGTGACTCCACACCCCTGCAAAATGAAAAAAAAAAAACTGAATCAAAATTGGTGAAGATGCTTAAGATAGTGCAGTATGTAGGGCAGTTTGCCTTGCATGCAGCCAATAGTAGTTCAAATACATGGCATCACATAATCCTTAGTCCCTTAAACCCCACCATGAGTGATCCCTGAGCAAACTGGGTATGTCCCCCTCTTAAAAAAATAAAATATAGAGGAATATTTTTTCTTTCCTCAAGTTTTCTCCTGAACTTCAGCTTTTCAATAATTTTGCTATCTTGTATACAATATTAGTTGTTTATTCATTAACACTAAGGACTTGACATTTGCTCAGCTCTTCATTTTGTGTGAGAGTGGAACGAGTTCAAAACCATTTTTGACAGATTCCACAAAGACTAAACTCAAAGAATAATGTGAACTTTAAAGGTCAGATCAATTCTGGAGCTGTAAAATCTTATTACCTTTCTATTAAAATGTCAACATCTTCTGTTTTCCTTTTTCTTTAAGAATCTTGTTCCCTTTCTATGTTGAGATTAAGTGGAATCACTTGGTTCAAACCCTTTGCTTAATACCCATTAGCTGAATGCCTTAATAGCATCCTGAGTAGTATTTTCATCCGCTAAAAAGGTGTAATATTTTACTTATGAAGCTTGTTGAATTGCCCTTAGTATCATAAGTACAGCACATGTTTGGCACATAGCAAACAGGTATTCAAAATATCTGGGACTTCAGATTTGTTTTATTCCACTATTATTCTTTCATTCTACCCTGTTACCTGTTCCAACCCAAAACGGTTCAGTTAACTTCTCTCTAGCAAATACTTCCCCCAGGGATGCACTTATAGCCCATGGACACTTCTTTCAGCCTAGTTTGGGGTGGCACTTGTTCCGACACATTTCATCTCTGGTAACAAAAGAAAAGACAATGTCTATACAAAGGACAAGTTAGGGGCTAGAGTGATAATATAACCGATAGGATGTCTTGTCTGAGGTTTACCCCGGGTCAATTCCCGGCACCCCATTTGGTTCCCGATGCCCGACCAGGAGTGATCCCTGAGCACAGAACTCAGTCGAGGTGGCCCAAACTCCATAATAGTGTAATATTATACCATACATAGTCATGGTAAAGATCTATACAGATCCATAACGCTTGTCTTTTTCTTTCGTTCTCTTTTTCACTGTCTTTTTTTCTTTAAGCCCAACTTGATTTCCAGGAACGGTCCTCAGAAACTTTGTTAGGCGTCACAGCGATCAGCACTGCTGTGTCCTAGAGCCACAGAAATCTACCTGGAAGCGAGGAGCGCACACCGGGCCAGGACACCGCTAGAACCTGGGGACGCCGAGGTGCGCGGACCGCCTCCGTCCGTCCCCACCTACGGCGCGGCGCGCGGGGCCGGGAGCAGCCTGGAGGTTGGCAACGACTCCCACCTGTGGCCCGGGTCATTGTGACGCAAATGCTATGGACACGTGGAACACCTGCGGGAGAGCAGGGGCGGGGTCACCCCGGGCCGCTGTTACAGCGAAGGGGGATACCCCAGGAGATGGGGGTCGAGGAAAGACCCCAGGGAAGAGGAAGAGGGCGACCCACACTCCTCGTTCCGGAGCCGCTCCGAACGAGGTGAGGCTGCGGGCCGATCGGTCCTCCGCGCGCCGGCGCCCCCGCGGGGAGGGTGGCCCCAAGGGGCGGCCGGGACCGGGCGCGATGGGGCCTCGGGCGCTCCCCCCTGGCCGCGGCGCTGCGCTGCGGCGCGCACGGGCTCGGCGGGCTGCGATTCGGCCCGCGGCCGCTGCAGGAAGGGCCGCTCCCGCGCTCCCCCGCCCCTTCCCTGCCTTCTGCTGACGCCGACGTCGTCTGCGGGAGCCGGAGGGACGCTCCGACCGCGGCCGGGAGGCTCCTGGGGGCCGCGGCGCCGAGGTACCTGCCCTCCGGGGCCGGGGCGAGGGCGCGCCGGGCGGGCTGCGGGCTGCCGCGGGAGACACCCGGCCCCGGGGGACCATCCGGGCCGCCGCCAGCTGGGGACGAGCGGCACAGGGGTTGGCGGATCGCTGGGGTCCTGCCCTGGAGGGCCCGCCAGAGCTGCAGCCCCCCCACCCGCAATTCCTCCTTTACTTCCCCCCCCCCACACACCGCCGCCTCCGGGCCTGGGAAGGGCAGGAGGATGCGCGCACCCCGAGAGCGTGCGTCAGCCGGGGGGAGCGGGAGCGGAGCACCCCCACCCCGCCACACCGCGCCTCGTCTTCCCTCTGGCTCGGCCCAACCATCCCGAGGGCCCAGATGCGCAGGGACCTTGCGTCCCTGGCGGACTTGTTGACAAGTTCACCTGCCGCCGCGGCGCCGGGTGTCAGCTGTCCCCCATAGTCTTATTGCCCATCTCTGGCGGCGACGACTGGAAGCTGAGGGGCGCCCCTATACATCTACTAGCGCCCCGAGGCCTGCGTGCGGTTCCCCTTGGACCAGGTGTGCACCTAACTGAAGTAGCAGTCCTTCGGCAGGCCAGGTCCCTGCAAAGCCTGGCGTGCCCGTTTCCTTTGGGTGCTGCTGACTCCGCCTTTCCTGCCTTGGGGTTATTGCAGCTCTTGCTTCCTCCAGAAACGAACGTATCCTGTTATTAAACCAGGCTCTACCCTGAGCGCCTCCCCATTAACCTCTGCCACTGTCCTTTTTGTCCGCTCACACCTCCCAATTCCTTGGTCCCTCAGCTTCTCTTTGGGGGCTTTAAAAGTACGGAGTCCTTTTGCTGGTGAAAGGCAGGAAGTGCCTGGTTGGGGAGAGAGAGATTATTTTGAGTGGGAATTAGATTCTCTGCTGTATTTAGATCGCACACACACACACACACACACACACACACACACACACACACGCACACCCCAGAAGCAAAGAGTACTGAGTGGCAATTTTAGTAACTGAGGTATGGTAACTTGATAAAAAAAAATGATCAGGGCTTGAAAAACAGGTCACCAATTGGTTTAAAAATGATATTGACTATAGGAAGAAGGGCATATAAGGCATTGACCATTAAAGTATATATATTATGACTCATTGCAAACATGTAAATGATATTAATGTAGGAAGAAGGGCATATAAGGCATTGACCATTAAGATCTATAAATTATGACTCATTGCAAACATGTTCTTGTTCAAATATGTCAGGCAAGTCTCCAGAAAAAAAAATATAACTCAGGTTCCTGTGAACCTTTGGTTTAGATCTTTCTAGTGACCTTGTTTGTGGGCTTGCAAAGTGAAGCAGAAATACTTATTAATACATCAATGTTCCAGGCTCAGGTCAGTTCTTTACCTTATATTTGAAGCGAGCGTGCGCGCACACACACACACACACACACACACACACACACACACACACACATTAAAATTACCACACACATTAAAATTACTTTTAAGAGGGTTTTCAAATCAATTTCGTTTTAGGTTTCTGCTTCTGTGAAACATCATGATTGATAGGGACAGTGTTCATTTCAAATTCTTCTAGCTTAAATATCAGTTTGGTTTTAGGTTGTCTCGTATATATTTAACTGCAGATGTGCTTTCTAGTTATATCTTTTGCATTATTGGGGTAAATAGTACTATTTAAATAGTGGAGTGCCCTGAGTTCACAAGCTGACCCACTCATGGGTCATTAAACAGATTGCTCAGCATGTGGGCAGATTGTTTTATAGCTGTATTTCTTCCATTTGGTGCACAGACTACTATCTTACTGTTTTCTCTGAATGCCTTTCTTTCCATTTCAACCTACAAATATTAGAAAAGTGTGTTACTGAGAAGAAAGTCTTCAAAATCGTTTAAGTTCAATGTAGTTGACTTTTGTTTCCGGGTGCAGTTCTGTCAGTGGCAGAGAGGTGTGGCAGCTGTGAAATGACGTGGTAGGGTACCTATGTGTTGATGTGAACAACTAGTTTATGAAACCCTAATGTAGAAGGAGCGATAGACAGTGGTAGCACGTTTGCCTTGTGCGCAGGCAGCCTGGCCGAGCCGGGTTCGATTCCTCTGCCCCTCTGGGAGAGCCCGGCAAGCTACCAAGAGTACCTCGCCCGCATGGCAAAGCCTGGCAAGCTACCCGTGACGTATTTGATATGACAAACACAGTAACAACAAGTCTCACGTTGGACATGTTACTGGGCCTGCTTGAGCAAATCGATGAACAAGGGAGGACTGTGCTACCGTGCTAATGTAGAAGGTGGGGAAGTAAATAGATCCACCGATCAGGAAGAATATTTCCTCTGTTGGCTGGCTAAACCCCCACACTAGAAGCCTGAAGGTAGTGGCAACATTTAGGATCAGTGCACTGGCCATTAATGTCCTTTTTATTCTATCTTCACTGTCATGTGTAAGGACCATGAAAAGGGATGTTATCTGCTTACTTTTGTTCATGAGCATGCCTGTAATGATCATGACTTAAGGTACTTACTGTCTTTCCCTTTCCATAGTCTGCCTCAGCAGAGTCTTAAAAGCTGATAGAGGAGAAACTTTTCTCCCAAGCTGTCATTTTTTATTTTTTAGTATCAAATCATATCTGACCCTGTGAGGAATATGCAGAGGGCAGAAAGACTGCATTCTAATGGAATTTGATTATAACCCTAGCTGCAGTACTTTACAAATTATGTAGCCCTGTCAAGTTTAACTCTCATTTCATTTGCAGAAAGAATATACAACCATGGGGCTGTGATATGGATTAGAGATAATAAAACACTTCGTACAGTAAACAGAACTCAAGTAGTAATGATGAACCATTCTTTCACATGCTAAACATATGTGTTTTGTATCTCAAAAAAAAAAAGGTGCTACTGCTTTCCCTGTACTACATAATGTTTTTCAAATTTATTTCAAGTGGTTCAGGTGACTTTGCATTAATACTAGGCAGTTGGAATTTCTGGAATATTCCATGAAACTGGGAAATGAAAATTGTGGTCCGAGAACAAATCAAAGTTAATTGGTTCCAGTGGGGTTCAATCATTCAAGCCATTGCCACTCAAATGTGATCCATGGCCCAGTAATATTGGTTTCCCCTGAGAGCTTGTTAGATGTGCAAAATCTCAATCTCAACCTGCCACATAGATCCACTGAATTTGAATATGCATTTCAACAGGATCCCCAAGTGATTCATATGTACATTGAAGTTGGAGAAGCTTTGTTATAACCTGGTATTTATCAGACTTTTGTGTTTAGTAGGATCATCTGGGGTCTTGTTAAATGTGAATTCCTAGCCTGTTTTTTCCCATCTGCTTTCTTTTAAATACCTTTGGAGTATCTCTAATATTTTGGTTTCTTCCATCATTCTTTGAGAAACAATGAACCAAATTCATTGTACATTGTGAGTTGAGAAAATTGAATTTATAAATCAGGCTAAGCATTACTCTGGTTTCATTTAATAGTCATGGAAGTGTTAGTAACCAGAAAACAGGATATTATTTGAGTTTTGGACCACACATAACCATGCCGGCAGGACTTGGGGTTGGGAATCCAACCTGGCTTAGCCGTGTGTAGGGCATTATTGCATAAATCTTAAAAAATATTATTAGACTTAGAGAAAATCGAAGCACTCAATTTTAGAATTTAACAGAAACTACCTGGATTAGAAAGGGCAATGGAGTAAGACAGCTGAGTATAATACAGTATAGAACTGAGAGACACAAGGTAAATTTGCTCAGTGCTGGACCTCTAACTATATACATAATGGTGCATTGTTATTCCAGAGACTATAGATCTAAGAGTAAAAAGGCTTCTCATTGTAGATTGTGAGAGAATTTGTACAAGAAATGGGAGTAAAGCATTACGGCTTCTTTCCCAGCATACACATTAAAATCCATTTCCTCACTTTCCATCATCATGATCTCACACACACTTTTCTGTTCCCAGAATAGGGTATGAGTAAAAAATATCTAAAACCTAAGAGTACTTAAGTCTTTTTATGTATTTCTGGTGTAGTGTGTTCAAAGCTGGGGATTAGTTGTTCATTGTGATAGATGGTCTCCACTTTTCTGATTGGTTGGAACCCTGATATCTTCCAGGAGTCCTTCAGCAATTGCCAGGTTTGTCATCCACAAGTACTGTGATGATAATAGATTTGGGACAAACACAGTATCTGAATCTGATTGGAAAGATTGTGTTTAATAGAAACAGAGTCCATTAATGTTCCTTCTTCCAAGAGTAGAGTGGAGTGATGAAAAACAGGAGCTGAAGAGGCAAAAACAGACCCGAATTTGCTGCTTGTTGACTTTGGACAAATTACATCATTGTTTTCAGCTTATTTTCTCACTTGAAAATGGATTGGTATCCCCTCATTGTATTTTTGTGGGGATGAGATAATTTTAAGGGCTTTATACATAAAGTGCTTAAAAATTGATGTGCATAACTATTACCCTTGTCCCACATATTTATTTATTAAGTGCCTACTGTGTTTCAGGTATTATGTCGAGTATGAAAAGAAGAGAAACCATTAGCATCCCAGCTTTTAAGCAATTTGCAGTTTAGTGCAAGAGATTCATATTTAATTAGCTCTATGCAGATTAGTAGGAGTAGAGGGCGCCACCAATATAGGGCAGTTAATTCTTCAGGGAAGCAGGAATGGCAGGGGTGTTGAGTTAGAGAGGACTGGAACGGTCCATGGACTTTTCCTGACTGCTCTGTAGTGATCCATGGCAGTACTTGGGAGAACTTTTACAGTATTGGGGGATCAGATGGGTCAGTAGGGGAACCATGCAATGCAAGCTCCTTATCTGGTCACATCTCTGGTCTGACTTTCCAAAAGGGAAAATCTTTTGAAACAAGGTGTAAGTTGGTGAAGAGGACAAAGGAGTGGAGGGAATTTCAAGTGGAAGGAAACTTCTCAAAGCCTTTACATGGATTTTGTTTTTATTTAGTTTTTGGGCCACACCCAGTGATGTTCAGGCCTTGCTCTT